ATCTATCTTACCGCGTTTAAATAAATCTATTTATCTTTATAATATTAAATATTCGAAAAATTTATGTAAAACTGAATATGTGATAATCAACTGGATGTATAAATGTTATTTTGTCGTCAACGTTTCGTTCAATAAGAACATCATCAGAACAACAAAAAACTATGGTAAAACTGTTACCATGGTAACCTCGTCACTGTGGTTAATTTTAAAATTTAATACGCACGTGCGCACACACACACACACACACACACACACACACACACATATATATATATATATATATATATATATATATATATATATATAGAGAGAGAGAGAGAGAGAGAGAAAGAAAGAAAAAGAGAGAGAGAGAATGTGATTTTTGATGTAGGTGCTTGAAAGACAAGTGAAGACATATATGAAGTCGCAAAAGTACGCCTGCATTTGATGGAGAAACAATTCTATGTTTAATACTTTTGTCTATAAATAAGCAAGTAATAAATAAGTAAATAATAAATCTAGATTTTTTTAAAACTAAGCTTTTAGTGCTCCAAGTCCACGAAATTGTAGTTTTAAAATTAGAGTTTGTTACTAGATTTTAAAATCCCTTGTTGACTTTGAAATCTTCTAAGCCTCCAAAAAAGATTCTTCTTCATACATTAGTTCTTGTTTCAGCCGATCCACTCTCCAGTCCTCATTATTGTTTCCCCTCAAAGTACACACCGGCTGTAAATATGAAACAAAAATAAATTCATCTAAGAAAACTTCGAAATCAAATTTAAGAATCAAATTTTAGCTTTTCTTAAATTAAAGAATATTTAACAACCATTATTAAATTTTTCTTAGTATTTCTTTCATCTGCATTTCTTTCTTTTATCAGAATTATTCTACAAGCGTGTTATTCAACAGAGCAGAACAAAAATGGAGTATATTCTATCAGTGGTATTTGAACCCTCATCCATTTTATCGCAGGAGACAATTATACCGTGCTGGCCATCAAATGCAACGATGAATAGTTTATTTCTTATTTCCCCTGAACGCACAGGGCTGTTATACATGAAAAATATCCGTGCATTTTCTTGTGTTCAGGAGCTTTGTTAAATGTATTTATAGAACGATAATTTTTAAATATTTCCGAAATATCTGAAATATATGCTTCGATATTTTGACATGTATTGATATTTTTTAAGAAATAAATCCGTTTTCTCGAAAAGAAAATCATTGCATAGATTGCTAAAGATATTTAAAAAGAGCAAAAACTGATTTTACCTCGAGGTCAAGTGTTTTTGCTGATTTCATTTCTATATGGGCACATTGTCGAAATAGGTTCACAAACGCGTCTCAGTTTATTTTGTCTTGTATAAACATGTCTCTCTGATAATTACAATGTAAGAGCGCGAAAAAAATAGCCTCTTTCATGAATTGTTATTTTCATGTTTAATTATGGGCGAAGTATCAGGCGAATTTGTCACAGCGACTTCGACAAGCATCATGACATTTATATAAAATATGAGACATAACTATTTTGAAAATAGCGGTGACATACAGCAACAAAATTGTAGCGCACTTACAGAGAATCGACTTTTCTCAAACAGTAAAAGACTTCAGGTTTAGTTTATTAATATAGAGAACGTACAACAGTCTGTTTTTCTGATCTATCTATCTATCTATCTATCTATCTTATGTAGGCAGGTATATATATAAAAGCATAGTATTTATTTTACAGCAGAAAAATTTATTTTGTAACATTTGTTCCCTTGTCAAGGAACTTGACGAAAATCAGGAATACTTCAGATAGGACTCTGATAATAATTGTGTTAAGCTACCAAAATACTGTCCTCACCTAATAATATTTATATATATATATATATATATATATATATATATATATATATATATATATATATATATATATATATATATATATATATATATATTCCAAAACTGGAGAAAATGACTTCGAACTTTCTAAGGATTTGTTTATATGTGAAACTATTAGTCCCGTTAAAGTTCTATATCTACTTCTAATGCTATCTGGTAATGTGTTGGCGCACTTTTTGAATTGCTTTTCTGATCTTGGGAAATTTGTGTCTAGTCTATTGAAGTGTTTTATTATTTACTTTTTAGTGATCATTCCAGCTTATTTCTTCGTTTTCTGTCTCTCTCTCTTTCTCCATATATATATATATATATATATATATATATATATATATGCAACATATTTTTATTCAATAATACAGACATATTGTGTCTATTTATTTTATACTGATCCTTTCCAGTTGTTTAATCAGTTTCTTGATGTTGATATGAAACAAAGCAATTTCTTACATGAGTTTGACGCGTGAACGTTTTCATTGAGGTCAGCGGTCAGTTTCACAAGTAGAAAACATGATATATATTTGCCAAAAAAAGAGCAGCATGTATAAAATAGCTGGAAATGATTCGAAATGATAGATATTTTTTCGTCTGCCACGTGTAAAATTAAAGGAAGATAAAAGACAACTGTTCCTGGCTTTTCGTAATGTGGTAAAGAGCTGTGATGTCTTTCCTAGAGATATAAAGCTCAATCAGATTCTTGTAGTCTTGAATAGAATTTGAACTCGCTTCCCCGATTTTGATGCTACATTGACAAGAAATTATTTAATTAATAAAATGAAAACCAAATATGTAAGAAAGAAAGTGAAATTAATATCAGCAAAGATTCGGTTGTGAACTTTTGGATACTATGGGTGTCTCCAGGCCAGTGATTGAATATTCTTTTCTCATTTCAATGATTTTCTTTTGCTTCCCTCTTTTTTCCACCTCTCAATTGAATTTCTTGTTTTCAAATAGAAATGAAATATTGAAAATCTACGAAAGAAACGTCAGTGTACGTGTGTAGAGACCTCGAAAACTAATGCCATGGAAATAAATTTCACGCACATAAACATACACACAGGAATTATGGGGACAGTTTTCGCTTTTTATAAAAATTTTAATGCTGAATCCAATAAAGTTTGAAACAGATTACCAATAATTCTGGAATTGCCTAATTTCGATATGTCAATGTCATCAACATTTAAATATAATTTTTCATTTGATTTTATATATAGATATCTACATTAAATTTAGATATACAAATCTATATAAATTTCATCTATATTTCTATATAAACACGAATGAGATCTGTATATTGATGAGAGTGGGACAGAGCAAGTTACAAGGGAAACTGAGGTTGAAAATGAAACTTCGGCTTTAGGACGAAAATCGTCGATCGTTTGGCCATTCCAAAATTAAATAACCAAATATCCAAACGTCAAAATTTCGTACCAAGCAACTATTTCTCGGCCAATCACTCACACACACGCACGCACGCACACACAGGGACGTGTATATGTGTATATATATGGGGCATCTCGAGACGTTGTAATGGTTAGCAAGCTTGTCTCGCTAGAACAATTGAGACTGAGTAGTGAGTTCGATCCTCACTTGGTGCCTCATAATTTCGGCCTTGTGTTCTATCTAAGATACACTTGGAAAATCAATATATATACCATGACTTTTCCTGAGGATTTCGATAAGTGAAGATCCAACAATTCAGTTTAGGACTTCACCACATGATTTCTCACACATCTGAGCGAATTCTCTTGGTGAAGGTTTATTTAGAACCAGCCACTCTTTTCGGATGAACTAATAATTGAGAAATGGTGCACAGTTTTTCTCGATATCACCGGTTTCCCGTTCACACTCCTCCTTAATTCCTTGTTTCCTGTTTAGGACTGATTTTCTGGTTACTTCTAAAGTCTACTTCACCTCTATACTAACGTTTCCGCCTGAACTTTGAAATTTTATTCGCTAATTAAATTTTGATCACTTCAAGTCTAGAATTAGCTATCTTTCCTGTTATCCCACCCTTTCTTACGCTAATACAACTCCACATATTAACCCTATTGGACCTTGTATTGGGTGAACAATAGTAAATAAAAAACAACTTCTACGGTATGATGCCAAAACTTAAGGATCATAGACAGAATGGAAAATAACCGGAAAAGGTATGTATGGAATTCAGGTTTTGTTCTCACCTTAAGCTGGCCCCCATACAATTTAGCAAAGTCTAGTCTGCTATGCTGTTTAACGCATACAGGAGGATGAAGTCAAACCTTTTCCTAGGCCATTAGTACAAAAAGAACCAAAAAGAATCGACCAGAATTTGAATATAGCAAAATATAGTAGATATTATGTATATTTTAATGCATCAAATTTATAAACCTTAATTTACTTATAGGAAAGATATACTCTTTTTACTAGCTGTCCGGATAATACTGAATAAATGAGACGGAAATTCGACATGCTTATTACTATTTATAGTTAAATTACAATAAATATTCACAGCGAAAACAACAACTACATTTTAACACATGAAAAATAAATGCTTATCTCTGCCATAAATGAATTATCTGTCATTTTATGAACATTAATATAGGAACCTTTCAAACCCATGGTGCGGATGTCATAAATATACAGACTGTTGAACTAAAAGCAGGTGCTGCGCTAAATTAGTGGAAATATTTAATGTTTTCCTGATAGAGATTAACTAAGTAAGTAAGTAAGTAAATAATAATAATAATAATAACCCACCAAATATTCACTGGTTGGATTTAGAGTAGGAATTTAAACATGTTTTTGTAATCTATAGATTACCAGAAAATTTCTAAATATGAAGATACTATATATTTTTAATGTCATTGTTATGTTAATGAAACTAATAAAAACGATGTTACTGATGGTGATGAGGTTGTTGTTGGTGGTTTTGGCAAGTAAAATGCAAAATGATTTCAGGAAATAAATGCAAGAGAAATAAATTTCAAAAGAAGACAAAAATAATGATTAAAATTTTGACCTTCCGGAAAGAAACTAATTAGTTATGTAGGCTCTTCTGAATCATCAGAATGACGGCTTTCTTTCTAAATTTGTGTCTGTTCGTTTGTCGTTGACCACATTTTTATGTTGATAATTAATTGAAATAAGAAAAAGGAGAACATTTAAATGTTGCTACAAAGGAAATTGCCTGAGTGTACGTTCGAGGGAGACAGAGATAGAACGATTGCAGCGAGAGAAGAACACTTGTGATGACAGAGAGAGAAAGATTTATCGCGAGACAGACAACAACGACAGTGAGAAATCGTAGGAAGTGGGAGAGAGAGGGAGAGAGAGAGAGATTGCAATGTAAAAATAGTTGTGACAAAGAGAATGACTGTAGTGAGATAGATAGATAGATAGATAGATAGATAGATAGATAGATAGATAGATTTTTTTACAGCTTTTATTTAATGCTCCAAAATATGTGTGGTTGGAAGAATAATTCTTTTTGTGCGAGTGAATATTGGATAAACAAACTTTTTCAGAACAGAAATGATTTTTCAGAAACAATACCTACTATTTAATCCATGGATTTTTACTTTTCCCCAAAGTATGTGCACGTAAGTGAATGTAATAAATCTGACTGAAATCCAATTTTTCATTCACAAACACGATCCGGCCCACCACCCACACACCCTAGAAAGATATGAATAGACTGAGATAGATAGATAGATAGATAGATAGATAGATAGATAGATAGATAGATAGATTGCTTTTTACCTTACAATTTAGTTAAACTTTGGAATTTGATTATACTTTTTCTTATATTTTAGTTGTACTGAGTTGCAACATCTATGGCTTATCTTTCTATTTGTAAGATTAATCTGGATTTAGTATAATTTTGTATTAATCTGCTGGTAGTATTAGTAACATCTTCGACGGATGTATTGGTATTTGTTTGGTATTTTTGACATTTTACATTGATTACTTATTATGATTAACGTCTAATATGAAGAATCTTTATTCAACAGTTGGATATTAATTTACCAAATAATTCTATACGTTTAATTTATTTACTAGTTTACTAGAAGCTATCAACTATTAAAAAATATGTAGGACACTCACAAAGCATATAACTTGTCTAGCAATTTGCTAAATTAACACTCAACCCCATTTTTAATTCTTTGGTAATGGCATTGTCTAGTTTGTATAATTTATGTATCCATTTATGCATTCGTTTATGTCTGGCTGTCGTTATCTGCAAATCTACGGTCATAAAACATTTATAAAAATAATTTCTTAATTTTTGTTTCCTCGTTTAGTTTAAAATTAACGTAGGTCTTATTTGATTGGTTGATCAGAGTAAAGCCCACAAACTTTATACCCCCAACCACTATTTTTCTTTTTTCGTAAAAAAGATGTATTTAATTTTAAAATCTAAATAAATCGTTCATTCGCAAGTAATTTACAATCGCCTGATGAAATGCATTTATACGCTTCGAAACACGACTGCAATTGTGTAGCGATTTTAACATGTTTTCGGTCTAATAAACTAAAATAAATAATATTGCTCTAATTTGTACTGAGCCCTCTTTTAAATTAAATGTTACGAACGTTGGAATTGTACTCTATTTGTTCTCATCTTACCTGGATCTATCTATCTATCTATCTATCTGTGTATGTGTGTGTGTCGAGAGAGAGACAGAGAAATTGTATTATGACTAAAGGTAATTAAGAAAGATGAAGAAGGATAAAAAGAATTCCAAATAGAAAGAAAGAAATGTAAATAAGAAAGTAATCGAAAACGTAAGAAAGGAAAAGAAAGAGAGAAAAACAAAAAGATTTTGAGCGTCAGGTGATGGGAAGGTGTGTATTGGTATAGGCGTTAAAAAAAGGTAATAAAGAATCAACAAAGAAGGAAATAAATACTTAGTGAAATTTTTTTAGAATTTTTACACGGAAGAGGAAAACAATTCAAATGTTTGAAAAAGTCGAAAAATCAGAAAAGAGAACAAAAAGAAAAGACAAGGAAAATAATAATAATAATAATAATGATGCTAAAAATGAGTGAAACAGATGATCCGAAAAATTATAGGCCAATAACTTGTCTGTCCACAAAGTTTAAATTGATCATATATGTCCTGACGAACGAACAATATTTATTTTTTTCTCGGCGCAAACAACATTCTTCCAGGGATGCAGGAGAGGTTCGTATGGTTCCAAAGTTCAACTACAGATAAACAAAATTATCCTGGAAAATTCGAGGAAAAGAGGTAGAAATCTTAGCACTGCATGGAAAGTTTATTGTAAAGACTTTGATATTGAGTTACACTCCTGAATACTTAAGACTATAGAAATGTACAAAATTTCCTCCGTGATAGTAAATTTCCTTAGGAACAGCATGGGAATGTGGAAAATCGCATTATACCTAAATCATACCAGAGGCACTGCCACTTCCAACGGCCTGAATATCTGACGAGGAATATTTGAAGGATACTCCCTGTCACCCCTTCCGATTTGTATGTCCTTAACCCCACTTACGCATGAACGACACAATAATAGCTATGGAAAAAAACTAAACAAGAAAGTATTCAATCACCTACACTACATGGATGATCTCAAATTCTTTGCCTAAGACGACAATGAGTTGAAGGGTCTCCTCAAAACTATAAAATATTTCAGTGCCGATATAGGTATGGATAAATGTGCAAAAGTAACATTTAAGAAAGGGTGAATTACTGAAATAAACTCAGTAGATTTAGATTTTGTCACAAAGATTAGGGAATGAAAACAAGAAGAAGCCTATAGGTACCTATGAATTAGCGAAGGAGATGGAATACAGCATGCCTAAATGAAGGAGGAGATAAGAAAGGAACACTACAGGCGTGTGTGTCTTGCACTGGATATCGAGTTGAATTCAAAAAACAGAATATCAGTCATAAACACCTTGGCTGTTCCTGCGATGCAATAGTTTCAACATCCTTAATTTGACCATAGCTGACATTAACCAAATGGACACCAAAACGAGAAAGCGTCTCACCTGCCACTTCATGCATCATCCCAAGGCTCATGTTGATCGTCTGTATGTGCACAGATCCTTAAGAGTTTAAGGATTAGTTCAACTAAAACTGTCTTACAAAACTACAACAATTGATCTTCAAAGACACCTGAAGACTACAGAAGACTGGTTGGTGATATGCGTCAAAGAACATGTAAGTAGTAAGAAAATTTATTCAGTAATAAAGGAAGCCAATAAGTTCAAAATGAAGTTTCAAATGGGTGAAGAAATGCAAGTAATGCATAATACACCGACTGAAGCTGTAAAATACTCAAAAAAGAAAGAAAAGGCAAATGCAACCGGCCAGATACAGCGGTCAGTATTCTGCCCGTACCAAACAAGACAAACCCCTACCCATCTGTGGCTACGTAGAGTACGGCTAAAAGCTGAAAGCGAAGGTTTTATTCTTGTTGCACAGGTCCAATGCACAGTTCCAAGAAATTGCCAAGCACACATACTGAAAAATTGTCTTAGACCAAAATGCTGATTCTGTGATAAATATCCAGAAACAATTGATAATCTTGTATCAGATTGCGCGGTATTGCTACCCACTGAATATAAAACTCGGCATGATAGAGTGGGTGAATATCTGCACTGAAAAATTTTACGGAAAGAAAACTGCAAGAAAATGGTATGAACACCACCCAGACCCGGAGATAGAACCTGTAACAATTTTATGGGATTTTACAATACACACTGACAGAACAATTAAAGCTAATCGCCCAGATATCATGGTCAGAGACCACAAAGACAAAAAGTACCTCCTTATTTATATGGCAGTCCCTGCAGAGTGCAATATATCTTTAAGATCTACAAAAAACTATCAAAATACAAGGAGCTTGAAAACCAAATCTCAAAAATGTGACACATGAGGACATCAATGATTCCAGTTGTAGTTTGAGCCCTCCGATTGATTTGAAAACTGATTGAAGGCATTCCTGGTAGCCCCTGCCTAAAAGAAATACAAAATATTGTTCTCACAAGTACAACCCACACCTTACAAAGGGATTTATCAATGAAAATTTTGTGTGATTTGTTTTCAAAACTGCTCAGTGGGAAATGCCTTGATGAAATTTCTGACCTTAGGTCTCTGGTTGGGACCCGGAAAGAAATGAGTATGCACCAGAAATAAAAAAAAAATTAGAAATAATGAGAATATTAAGACCGAAAACGGACAAAATGAATGAAAATGGGAAAGAGACAGAAACAAAAAAATATCCTATATCAAATGTCAGGTTCGCCTTGAGCCAAATGTGAAGATATTCTGTTTATTTATATTTTTTCTTTCTCATGAAGAATTATCATTATTAATATTTTTCTTTCCACTCGGATCAGAATCATCCCCTTGGGTGTTAAGAAAATTTTTCGGCTTTTGTACCTTCCGGTCTTCTTCAGGTGTCTATCGTAATTTTCTCGAAGTTTTGAAGGGAACCCTTTATTCAGTACATGAGGGTGGATTGTTCTAATTCGGCTTTCCATTTGTAAGGGAGATAACTCCTATCGGTTAGTGGCGGTAATTCGTATCATTTAATTTTTCGTTGCTTAGAGCAAAGTAAAATGCATGTTTTTCTGCACTATTCAACTGAAGGACTAAATTCAAATAAACTGTTTCAGTTGAAGAAACGAATGGAGCAAATACGTTAGAGATTATCAGGGAGGTGGTGAGGAGGGTTCACGGTCTATCAACAATTTCTGAGAAAATATTTTTGTTGTAAAATAGATAAGGTAAGCTAAAACAGGGTGGAGTAGAAATAACCGAACTTAAGTCGACATTAACTAAGCGCCATACACTTCAAAATAATCTGATGAAACGATTTCAGTCTCATTGATATCAATAAATCAAAATTTGAAAATGTTAAGCAAAGTAAATCAAAATTTGAAAATGATCAGCTATAATGATAAATATTTTTTTCTTGTAATATTATTGTATATTTCATTAATAATTTTTTAGATACGTTTTTAAGTCCTTTTTACTCAAGCGAATTTATATTAACTCCGTACTCATCAGTCTTATGTATGAATTGTCTTCCTGCGAACCTTTGAACGTTGCTGGATGATACAGTTAAAAAGCTTCATGAGCGGATCAGAGTTGGTTGGATGTGAGCAAAGAACTTCTGAACCAAGAAGTTTCCATCTGGAAAAGCATATGGAATAAAGCAGTTTTTAAACCAGAAATATATCTAAAACTCTGTAACACCCAATGTGTTCCGCCAAATTGTTTCGGAGCATTATGAAAGTTCTTCAACTTTTCGTACTTAACGGTATGTCTGCCAGTTCTGTTGAGTGATCAAACTCATCCTTGACGTTTATAAAAATTGAACGAGGCGCCCAATGAGTGAAGACATATTTAACGCGCTTCTTCTTTTGTATTTTCACAAAGACATTCACTTAGATTATGATGAATTTGTGAACTTCTGTGCAAAATCGACGAAAATTGACTTTAGTAAATCCTCTTTCATAAATGCTACATTGAATCTAAAAGTTTGAATTTACCATTTTACATATAAAATAAATAAAAAACATGCAGATTTAATTTTTATATAACACTTTCTAATCATTTCTCTAACCTAATTTATATGATCACAGAATTTAGAATTTTGAATTGAGATTTTTACCGAGGAACACGCTCCCCACCCCTGTAACTGAAAATGCTGGATCCGCGCTTGCAATTCTGTACATCATGGAAAACGCAATGAAAATACTAAACCCCGTAAATTGAATAAAAGCTAAAAATTAAGAAAAGGTTGTCGATTACGGCAGACACTTAAGAAAGCACTGACGATAGAATGACAAAACGTTATGTGCAGAACAATAAAAAGTGATTACATTTTTTTTTGCCAAGTCTTTTCAGGATGTAAGGTGATTTGGGATCTTTTTTTTTTTTAATCTAAAATATTTTGTCACTTTGTTGTCTCTTGTTCTTTGTCCTAGTTTTGGTCTTCATTCATAAAAAAAAAAACTTGTTGAGTATATACGCTGTTTTTTTTCCCATCTTTTGCTTTAATATGTTCCGTGAGTATTGAATACACTAGACACTATTTCTTCATTATGCCTCCCAGAAATTTATTTTCTCACTGTAATATTTAAAAAAATTTTTTAAGCATTTGTGAAAGTGTCAGTAGTAGGCAAAGGGCTACATAGAGTGTAAGTAAGGGGGAAAAACTGTATATAGGGGGTAAGGAAAGAATAAAAAGGAGAACGGAGGAGTATAAAAAGAAGAACAGAGATCAATGCATCAGAAGATGTCGATTGACATAACGTTTAAATTTTTTAAAGATTATAGTTATCAGAGAAGTAAGTAAGAGAAAGTTTAGTTTAAAATTAACGTAGGTCTTATTTGATTGGTAGATCAGAGTAAAGCCCACAAACTTTCTACCCCCAACCACTGTTTTTCTTTTTTCGTAAAAAAAGATTTATTTAATTTTAAAATCTAAATGAATCGTTCATTCGCAAGTAATTTACAATCGCCTGATGAGATGCATTGATACGCTTCGAAACACGACTGCAATTGTGTAGCGATTTTAACATGTTTTCGGTCTAATAAACTAAAATAAATAATATTACTCTAATTTGTACTGAGCCCTCTTTTAAATTAAATGTTACGAACGTTGGAATTGTACTCTATTTGTTCTCATCTTACCTGGATCTATCTATCTATCTGTGTATGTGTGTGTGTCCGTATGTGTGTGTGTGTCGAGAGAGAGACAGAGAAATTGTATTATGACTAAAGGTAATTAAGAAAGATGAAGAAGGATAAAAAGAATTCCAAATAGAAAGAAAGAAATGTAAATAAGAAAGTAATCGAAAACGTAAGAAAGGAAAAGAAAGAGAGAAAAACAAAAAGATTTTGAGCGTCAGGTGATGGGAAGGTGTGTATTGGTATAGGCGTTAAAAAAGGTAATAAAGAATCAACAAAGAAGGAAATAAATACTTAGTGAAATTATTTTAGAATTTTTACACGGAAGAGGAAAACAATTCAAATGTTGAGAAACTGTTGGGAAGTTCCAGAGAAGAAGCTGTTGGAGCAGAAGAGGCGGTTTACATTTAAATGTTTCGACAGTAAAAGAGTAGGACCGAGATGTCAACGTAGTAGCACACTTAGATTCATGCAGTCGAGACACCAGTGAAAATAGCTCGTCATGAAAATATTTATAGAAAAAACAAAGGGAAGCCACATGACGTCGGTGAGAAGTGATTGGAATCGAAACCCGAAGTAAGGACCGATCACATTGCCTATCCGTCTTGGGATTTTGTGGAGAACCTCGAGATGAACAGCGGAGGGCACCAGACCATATATGGCAACAGTATTCAATGCAAGGACGAATGGTAGATTTGTAGATGTGAAGAGTTTGGGCTCCAAACTACCAGTCCGGAACAGCAACCAGAAAACTGCCAATCCTGTAACCTCAGTATGAAGAGACGTTATCACAAACGGCACACACCTCAAGAGACTAACGACAGCACTACTTCTAAGGCCAGAGAAAGAGAAAGGATCCTGGAACCTCTTCTAAACATGAAACAAGGAATGAGCCTCTACTCCTGTTCAAAAGAATTGGGAAGAATATTAACCGAGCGATAGGAAAGCTTATCTACTCCTGTGCCTATCTACTCCTGTGGAAAACCTATCTACTCCTGTGGAAAACCTATGTGCTTCTATGCATACTAGTTCGAAAGTAAAAGGCGGACTGGTAATGAGTTTATATTTTCAAAGTTAAATTAAATAGTGTACTAGAGTGGACATTAGATGGCGTGATGCTTAGGTAAAAAGGAAAGAAAAAGAGTGAGAAAGAGTCAATGGCCGGAAATTTGGAAAGGAAGTTCTGCATAGGAAGGCGCGTTGAAAGTGTTATTGGGCCAAAAAGTGACAACCACTGACATTCGCAGATTGTTATTCGGTCATCAAAAAGAGGAAGTGATTGTCGACTGTGCTTGGCGGTTCGGGGAAACGAATTTGGCCGTGCAAATTTCTATTTTAGTATTGTTTGAATCATGAAATGTTGCCATATTTAACTTTAATGTACTGAGAGAAGAATCCCTTCTCTCTCTCTCTCTCTCTCTCTCTCTATCTATCTATCTATCTATCTATCTATCTATCTCACTCTGTTCATATCTATTTTACTATCTACGTCAGTTTATTCCTTATCTATCTATCTATCTATCTATCTATCTCAACCATCTCATATTTAGCTAGTTAGATAACGAGTTAGATAATTACGATATCAATACATTCATATCAATTTAAGACAAGTATTCTCTATTGAATTCGAATCTCAATGCGTGCCCCATTATTGCAACCTTGTACCAGACTATGCTAAATTTATTTTACTTCTAAGCACAAATCTATTCCTTTACACTCAAATACCCCCACTTTATTTTGCACGCACACACACACGCACATATTTACACTCTCTGTCACTCTTACACAAGGTATATCTCACATTCAGAGACCCACTTACAAACACATATACACACTCCATATATATATATATATATATACATGCATATTATATGCACATATAAACACTGTCACATACGCATACATATTTTATATATATCTTACCCACACGCATACACACATATACACACTCTCTCTCCCATGCATATATACACGCAAAATGTAAGGAAATTTATAAGTGTTTTCTTTTTATTATTTCTGAATCATAATGTTCGTTTTTCTGATTCATTTTATTGCCATTGATTTTCCAAATCTATGCAAAATATCAATATATTTAGTATTTGAGATTCCGAAATTCGCCTCTTAGAGTTTTACACAATATGAAAATATTTTTGAAAATTACGATTTCTTTGCTAGAGAAAAATGAATTAATAGTTATTGTTAAAAATTGATCACAGGGTTAAGTTGTCGCTACGTAAAGCTATGAATATTAAGGATATAAAAGAAATATCAGACATACTTGGGAATTTATTCGTAGTCGCTGAAAAAGGCAAGAAAACTGCTACAACATGTGGAAAAAACATCCTTCGTCTTCAAACATTACTGGCACTAAGAATTCCACTTCTATTGTGTGTGTTTTGGACAGTTTTAGAATTCAAAACACGATGGAATTGTGAAATTCAAAAGCAACGAGAAAAATAATCGTTCATACAAAAATCTTATCAGCGTGTGAAAAAGTTCCGTAGACGACAAATGTTCGTGCCTGAAAAGAGCACTTACGTCTCTCCGAATTTACAAAAAAATAAACTGAGTAGCAAGAAAAATGCTTGAGGCTGATATTGTGAATATGTACCCATAGATAAAAACTGTAGGATATTAAAAACGTTAGCTAAAGAGATATAGGCAACCAAACTAACCCCTTTATGAAAAAGGGTTTAGGCGGAGAAGTAAGGGATACTGATTTCGCAGCAGTAATTTAATGATGAATAGAGAGCTATATTGGATGGACGTAGTAGATGATCAGTAGATTGATTCTTTAATTTATTGAATTCCTTAACACTCTCTTCAGATATTAGTGCAATCGAAAACTTGTTGTCTACCATTAAAAAATAGTACATTAGAACGGAAAACAATATTTAAAGAAATATTTACCAGAAGACATAGAAATACAAGTATAAAAAGTATAAAATTTAACAAAATTAATGAATGAAAAACTGAGGAATTTTAGTCCATAGAAGGTTATATACCCTATATTAAAGTATAAAATATTAACTTATTCAGGTTAATTGGTTTATCCATCAACAGAATGTGTTCTTGTAATATATATCTTTAGTATTTATTTATAAATAAATATTTATGTAATGCGTAATTTGTTTTAAAATGTTGATACTCACAAAGCAAGATATTATCAGTAATTTTAATACGGGTTGGTATTAAAATTTAATTTAATTAAACGTAGACACGATGTATTGCTTATATTAAAATAAATATATTCTTAAATTTTTACTCACATCATTTAATGAATATTCACCTACCAGAAATTATAAAACAACCATGAATTAAAAAAAATATTATTGAAATTTGTTTAAAAAGGAGTCGAGTTTTTGTTTTTGTTTTGCAAAGTTATTTTCAAATATTTTCAAAATGTTTGTAAATTTTAGTCTTTATTCTTCATTTTGGGAGACGGGATTGATATCCAGTAATTATAAAAACAGTCGAAAATCAATATATATTTTATTTTTTTATTAACAAAACTTTCCTTATCAGAATATTCATATTTTATGACTGTACCTTTTACCTAGAATATCTGCTTCACACGATCTGTTACCGTGTTAGATTTTGTTTTATTTAGAGTGCATCGATTGAGGGATTTTTCCCATGCAGTTCTTCAAAAGTGAAATGTTGCGTGTTGAGAGCGTATACATCTCTTGCCATGATCTACCGAACATT